CAACCAATCAGTCGTATGAATCAGTCAGTTGGCTCACGTATGCCATTCAGTTCACCACTCATTCATCTGATTAGGCGACTTACGAGTGAACAAACGAGATAACCAATCACCACAATAATTTTTTAACCACTCACTTCATTTCCAAACCCATTTCTCAACCGATTGGTTTAACCAATTTATCAACCACGCAGTCAACTGTTAATTCTCCTGGATCATCCATTCGGTGAAGTGCTCATACATCAACGCAGTCAACCCTCCAACCTTTTATTAATCACTCACTTGATTGCCCAACCCATTTCTCAACCGATTGGTTTAACATATGTATCAACCACGCAGTCCACTGATAATTTTGTTGGATCATCCATTCGGTGAATTACTCAGTCATTCATGCAGTCAACCCTCCAACCAAGCACTCCGAGAATTATCTAGTCGAGCAATCGGTGATGAGTGGATCATTACTCAACCACTCCAACAACCACTCGGTCAAACAAGTCAAACATTCGGTCAAACAATATGTCAATYKGTTAGCCACTTAGTCCAKTTGTTATACAACCATTAAATGAGTCAACCACACARTCAACCACTCATTCTRATGGATCATCYATTTAGTGAAGCACTCAGTCATCCATACAGTTGAACCCTCCGTCCGTTAAACTGATCGCAGTCCACTTGGTRATGAGGGAATCCTTCCGTTAAACTGATCGGTCATCCAATATGTCAATCGACTAGCCACTTGGTGAAYTTATTATTCAACCACTCAATTAATGAAGCATACTGTCAGCCGCTCATTCTGCTGGATCATCCAATCTGTCAATCACCTAGTCATGCACACAGTCAACCACGGCTGCTGGATCATCCAATCTGTCAATCACCTAGTCATGCACACAGTCAACCATCCAGGCAGGCAGTCAATCTCACTCGGTGATGATTGAATCATTACTCAACCATCCAATAACCACTCATGCAGCCAAACTGTCAAACAATCGGTCAACTAATATGTGAATCGGTTAGCCACTTAGTAAACTTATTACTCATTCTGTCAATCACTGACTCATCCACTCAGTCAACCATTCGTCTAAGTAGTCGGTCAACCATCCAGTCGAACACTTGGTAATGAAAAATCACTCAGTCAACCAAACTGTAAAACAATCGTTCAAGCAATATGTCAATCGGTCAGCCACTCAGTCAACTCAATATTCAGTCATTCAAGCGCTCTATCACTACTCAAGTAGTCCATCGTGGAATGGTGTTGAAGATGGTAAATATATAAAAAATTATACATACGATTTTATATATGTTGTAGGGATAAAAACGAGGTAGAGTAGATGTGTGATAAAGTAGATTTGTCGAAAAACAATTCATGCAATGCTTACATTGAGTATGAAAAGAGACAAAAGCATGCGTGGTAGATGGTTGACAAGATCGAGGTTATGTTTATTTTACTTAGTCAGGTAGACTTCGGACTTAAAAAATTGTAGGAGGATTTTTCTTAACGGTGTGGTCGTGATGATTTGAGTTAACTGATGTTTTTATAAATTTTCGGGTTAAATTTTTAGACTGAAGCACTATGATTCCACATAGTGCTTTTTTTTTTTTTTTTTTTGCTTGAACTGCAGCATGAACATCATCATGCGACTCCACATCATCCTATGGATGATGAACCTCCTTTCATAGGTGCATACCTTTTTTGTCTTGTGCCTTTCATTTGGTCGTCAATGGACTATAAAACGATAGTTGCACAACCTCCTTCGAGAGACTATAATTTTTCTTTCGCATGATTGAAGTTACCCATTGTCGCCGTCTTCCCTTATTTTAGTACTCGGTCCATCAGGGTTATACATCTGCCGAGGCACTTACCTATTAACACGTCGCAACTTATGTCGTTTGCATGACGGAAAACTGCGACGTGTGGTTCTGCATATACCTCGGAGGGGCTTCGATTCGACTTCACGCGCAGGGGGGTTGGAGGGTAGCTTCAATACATCGGCCAAGTACTGATGGTTGAAGGTTGATTATATTGCTGTCGGATAATTTTCACAGAGTCGAAGGTTGTCCACGCATATAAGAATACGAGGTGATCAGTTTAAAGAAATACATATACATTCTGTAGGAAGAATATAGTGAGGATACAAACGGCGAAGGTTTTCTGCAGGTTGCTCTTTGGACGTCTTAGCGAATGGGCTACCATCGGGAGGATCATGGAGAAGCTGAACATGATTTTTGTGGCTTGTCCAAATTTCCCCTGGCACATTGATTTTGAGTGGATACGGACCACTTTGCAACCGCCATTCTTTTTTTAGTTTTATAAATGATTGGTCGCCAGAAAACTGGTTTGTACATACGGTAAATGAAATTTGCACATTGTATTCAGGTATGGCAAGCATGAAGGGGAGTAAATGGGCATTTCGACGACATTTCATTCGAAAGTTTGTTGCAGAAAAGAAGAATGTAGCCGTTCAAGTTTTTGGTAGACGGTCGACAAGAAGTTACGTCAGAGAGACTAGTGAGTTGCATGAGGGTGACCACTTTGCTCACGTCTCGAGGGACGACGTGAGTGAGAGAGATGCACATGGTCGAGATGAGGTTGAAGAGGAAGCACATCGCGAAGCAGCAGATAATGCGAGAGAAGACGTTGAAATGGGAATAAGCGAAAAGAGAGAAGATGTTGGGATAAATGTTGAAGGAGAAGTGAATGAGGATGAGAAATTTGACGAAGGAGGAGGAATAAAGAAAGGGGATGACGAAGGGAACAAATATCATGAACGAGAAGGGGGAGATAGAGGGCAAGGTGGTGTCGAATGGGGAAAAGATGATGCAATGAACGACACGGAGAAAAAGAAATACCATCATGAAGAAAAAGCAGAGGAAGAGAAGGGCGACGATGAAGACAAAACGAATGATGAAGAAAGAGGTGAAGTAGACGTAAGTGAGGAAGCAGAGGAGGAAGAGAAATGTGGCAATAAAGAGAAAGCAGGTGAGAAGGCAAAAAGTGACAATGAAGAGGAGATGCATGATAACGAAAAAGGATTTACAACCGAAGGTGAAAAAGAAGAAGGGGTGAAAAATCATAATGAAAAAAATACGAACGAGGAAGAGAAAAGTGACGACGAAGAGAAAATGGATGAGGATAAAAGAGGAGACAGGGGCGAATGTGAAAAAGAAGAAGGGGAGAATGAATGGGGTGTTGAAGGATATACAGAGGATGAGGAGGAGAACGAGGATGATGAAAATGAAAACAACGGAGAGAAGTTTGTGGAAAGAGGAAGTAGTAAGAAGGGAGGTGAAAAAGGTGAAAGTGAAACAGAAAAAAATTTCAAGTATGAAACAGAGCGAGGGAGGAGGAAGGAAAGAATCGAAGATCGGGAAGAGGTGATGAGAAAATCAATGGAAAGTGATGAGAACAAAGATGATGATCAAATTCTTTCTGCAGCAGAGGACAGGGATGAAGAAAATACAAGTTCTTTGTCGCGAAGTTCGGAAGAGAGAGAGGAACGAAGAGGGATACAAGAGTCGAGGATAGAGGGAGGAGAACGTGAGGGGGAGGAAAGCACACCACGCGCAAGTCTACGTCTCGAAACTCAAAACACCGAGAAAGAAACTTGCGTAGAATCAAGTGAAGAGGAGGAGGAGGAGGATGAAAATGAAAACAAGGGGGAGAAATCTGTGGAAAGAGAAAGTAGTAAGAAGGGAGGTACAGAGCGAGGGAGGAGGAAGGAAAGAATCGAAGATTGGGAAGAGGTGATGAGAACATCGATGGAAAGTGATGAGAATAGAGATGATGATCAAATCCTTCCTGGAGCAGAGGACAAGGATGAAGAAAATATAGGTTCTTTGTCGCGAAGTTCGGAAGAGAGAGAGGAACGAAGAGGGATACAAGAGTCGAGGATGGAGGGAGGAGAACGTGAGGGGGAGGGAAGCACACCACACGCAAGTGAACGTCTCGAAACTCAAAACACCGAGAAAGAAGCTTGCGTAGAATCAAGTGAAGAGGAGGAGGATGAAGAAGGTATAAGAAATGCAGGCGTGGAGGATATTACAGATATATGCCATGATTGGGTGGATACACGCTCGCACTTTCGTGGTGAGGAGAATGTTAACCAGGAGGATCACGACATGGTCCCTGCATATTTGCAGCTGGACTTCGAGAAATACGAATTCGACAATTTGCGATCCGGGATAAAACATTTGGACGGAATTCGGGACATGTCACCGAGAGCTGTGTTTTTTAGATTGTGGCCACAAGAGGTTTTCGACATGATCATGAAAGAAACGAATGAGTACGCAGAGCGTCGGCTAGAAGCGGTGAGGAGAGAATCTAGGAAACCAAGGACATGGAGACCGACGGATAGGTTAGAAATGCTAGCATTTTTCGGTCTCGTGATAGCAATGGGTTTTAATCGATTACCGAATATGAACGACTATTGGCGTACCGGAGCATGTGGAGTGGTGACGTATACCGATTTCGGAAGAGTGATGAGCAAAACTCGGTTTAAGGATATAAAAAGAATGCTTCACCTGCGCCATGCGAGCGATAGACCGGAGGAAAAAAATACAAGAGCATATCGATAGTGGCAACTGGAACCCTTAATTGAGAAATTGCGAGCAGCATCGCAAAGGTATTTCTATCCTGGCAAGGTGTTATGCTTCGACGAAAGAACAATTCCGACGAAAAATCGATTTTGCCCTGTCAAACTGGTTAATAAAAGAAAACCTCACCCCGAGGGTATTCAAGAGTGGAGTTTGAACGACTGTGCCATAAGATATCAATTTGATTTTGATGTGTACGATCGTGTTCACAAGCAGCCGGCTGCGCCGAGATTGGATGGTGCAAGGTTAGAAAGAAAACATTTAGGAGTTTATCAAAGAGTGGTTTACGATAGAATGCGTGCGTTGGGGAAAGGGCATGTTGTTGTGATGGATAGGGCCTTCGCAGAGGTCCGCTTGTTCCAATTGTTGAAGACAGAAAAGGGAATTCTCGCAGCATCAGTTAGCGGAGTATGTTGTTGCATTTCAGGAGTGTCAGAATAATATGTACCATTATATTAGCAAATTCAAGAAGACATCGTCAATCACAGCCACTAGCAGTGGCAGGAGGGGTCGGTATTGTGAGCGAGAGTGGGCTTGTCAAGCTCACGAAAAGGGAGGAGATGTGGAAGGGACTTCTCTGACTGCCTTTACGGTAGAAGAAATGAAAGTTATGTCCTTTAAGTCAGTGTCAGACATTATTGATGCATTGGAGGAATGCCGCAACAACATAATTTCTATGATATCAGGGCATTAGATTGTAAATTCCATGACCCTTACTTGGCGGTGAGTGGTTGGGATGATGGACTTCGTGGCAACGTGAAAGACGTGGCGACAATGAGCGATGTACGTAATGGTCCTGGCGGTGCAAGTGAGACTATTGGGGTAACGACTACGGATGGAGGAACCGTAGATTCGATCGATGCAATCATTGTGGAAGTGTTGGAGAATATCGGCGAAGAGGAAAGAAAAATGTTGGCAGAGAGACGCAAAACCGAGGGGAAGAAAAATGTTGGGGCAAATATGTCCAATCGGCAACAAACGGGATCCTTCAAGTCGCCACCAAAAAGAATCGCGCCCACTAGTGTAACGGAGGCTGTGCTGATCGAATAGAGAGCTGAGAAAGAGAGGAGAGAGAAAGAGAAAGAGAGAGAGAGAGAAGAGAGAGAAGAGAGAGAGAGAGAAGAGAGAGAGAGAGAGGAAGAAGAAAGAGAAAGAGAGAGAGAAATACTGAGAGAGAGAGAGAGAGGTTCCGAAGGGAAGTGAGAAAGAGAGAGAGAAGAGAGATGGAGAGAGAGAGAAACATGTACCGATAGAGAGAGACAGAAGAGGAGAGAGAGAGAGAGGAAGAGAGAGAGAGAAGAGAGAGAGAGAGAGAGAAAAAAAAAAAACAGAGAGAGAAATACTGAGAGAGAGAGAGATGCTCTGAAGGAAAGTAAGAAGGAGAGAGAGAAGAGAGATGGGGAGAGAGAGAAACATGTATCGATAGAGAGAGACAAATGTACAAAGAGAGAGAGAGAGAGAGAGAGAGAGAGAGAGAGAGAGAGAGAGAGAGAGAGAGAGAGAGAGAG